GAAAGTCAAAGATTGTCATTTTGCGTACGTGCAAAAAGGGGCAAAATTGGATTTTGTTTTTTTTAAACAAGAACGATGTAACCATGCCCGCAAACAGAGGGGAGAGGATGTTCGATCAATAACAATTGGTCGAATACGATCACGTGACCTGCGGAAGAAAAGGAAAGAAATGTTCGATCAATAACAATTGGTCGAATACGATCACGTGACCTGCGGAAGAAAAGGAAAGAAATGCTCGATCAGGAACGATTGGTTTGAAAAGCGGTCACCTGACATACGAGAGACTAAGAGAGATGGATATGCGCCTCCCCACCAAAAGCACACTATGAGGAAGTAGGGGTGAAAACAATAGCGATAATGGAGAAGACAGAATTAATGCAGTTTTGGAATTATCGAGAAAACCCTGACGCCGACAGACCCACCCCAGTTTGTTGCGGCGTCAATATAAGCAGGACCCCAGTCGACAGAAATCAGTAGAGTTGGAGTTGCAGTTGGAGTTGAGAGTTGGACCGCGGGCAGGGATAGAGCCTGAACGCGGCCATCAGGCCCGATTCACTCGCCCCTTTGCGGGCAGAAAGAACCCTCAGACAAGAAGAACTTCCAGCCCAAGTAGATGAAGAAGAAGATTGCCTGAAAGCCTGGAGAAGAATTGGAGATGCAGACAAGCCGAAAGTCGATGAGAAGTTAAAGTTCATCCCCGGACGGCAGCGAAAAGAACCCTCAGACAAGAAGAACTTCCAGCCCAAGTAGACGAAGAAGAAAGATTGCCTGAAAGCCTGAGAAGAATTGGAGCTGCAGACAAGCCGAAAGTCGATGAGAAGTTAAAGTTCATCCCCGGACGGCAGCGAAGAAAGAACCCTCAGACAAGAAGAACTTACCAGCCCAAGCAGAAGAAGAAGAAGAAATACAACTCAAGTCGAGAGAAGAATCAACTGCGAATGATCGATAGAAATTAGCCCCAGTGTCGAACTGAACCACACTCCGACATACATACATGATTCTAGAAAAGTAGGTAATTCGACATTTTCTATTGTGTGATAGAAGCTTGGTGCCATAGTCCACAGAGCGGGTCGGGGAATTGAGAACAATTTTGTTTTTATGTAACGGACTTTAAGATATAAAAGGTTGTTACCCTTTTTATCAGCAATTTTGTTTGGTTTCGTGAGTTTTTATTTTATTTGTGTTTTTGCCACCCCGTCGGACTCAACTTGTATCGGCCCCGATCCCTGCTGGTCCCGTCTGTCTAAGATCTAAACACAGCGTGGGTAGACAGACCGGAGATCGGTATAGTTGCTTTAGTGACCAGGTATTGGAAGCGAGTCGGGAAAGGCGAGGCTGGTGATCATCTGACCAAAGGGTTGGGCGGCACGTTTTTGGACCCAGGAGGAGCGACCAGGAGGAGCGACGTCACTGTTGGCGCCGTACCCAAAGGATCCGACACTGGGCCAGGTGTGTAACCGTCACATCTCATTTAACATGTTATTCATTTGATATGCTCTTTCCCGAAGAAAAGCTTTAATCCGTTTTCCCCGAAACCATATTTTTCATTTTATACACTATTTCCTGAAGAAAACATTTAATCCCTTTTCCCCGTTACCATGTCATTCATTTCATATGCTCTTTCTTGAAGACAAGCTTGAATCCCTTTTTTCCGTGAACATGTCATTCATTTTATATGCTATTTCCCGACAAAAAGCTATAATCTCTTTCTTCCTTGACTATATTATTCATTTTATATGCTCTTTCCTGAAGAAAAGATTTAATAACTTTTCTCCGTGGTCATTCATTTCATTTATATGCTTTTCCTGAAGAAATGTTAATCTCTTTTTCTCCTTGACCGTATCATTCATTTTTTATGCTCTTTCATGAAGAAAAGATTAATCCGTTTTCTCTTTGATCATGTCATTCGTTTTTTCTGCACTTTCCTTAAGAAAAGCTTCAATATGTTTTGTCCGTGAAAATCTCATTCATTTTATCTGCACTTTCCTTAAGAAAAGATTGAATCCATTTTGTCCGTGACCATGTCATTCATTTTATCTGCACTTTCCTGAAGAAAAGCTTGAATCTGTTTTGTCCGTGACAATGTCATTCATTTTATCTGCACTTCCATTAAGAAAAGCTTGAATATGTTTTGTCCGTGATCATGTCATTCATTTTATCGTACTTTCATTCATTTTAATGCTCTCTCCTGAAAAATATGTTTTCTCTTGTGACCATGTCATTCATTTTTGCTCTTTCCTGCTTTAACATCCATTACTGTCTCATTCATTTAATCCCCTTTCCTTTAATTCCATCCTTTATTCTCATTCATTTTACATACTCTTCCCTGAAAAAAGCTTTAACTTTTTTTTTTCTCGGTGACCATGACAATCAATTTCTCTGAACTTTATTCATTTTTAAGGTGGCTTTAATCCTTTTTGTCCATTTCATATTTGCTCTTACCTAATTCATTTCATATAATTCATTTTTTTTCCTGAAGCTTTAATTCAATTTTACTGTCTCATTTTTTTGCTCTTACCTGAAGAAAGGCTTTAATCCTTTTTCTCTTTGACAATTTAATTCATTTTATATGCTCATTCCTGAAGAGAAACTTTAATCCTTTTTCCCCTTACGAACCTTATTCATTTTAGAGGCTCATACCTGAAGAAATTTTAATATTTTTCTCCGTGACAATGTGATTCTCATTCATTTTACATGATCTTTCCAGGAGAAAAGCTTTAATTCCTTTCCTCCATACAATCTACGTCATTTTCATGCTCTTTCCTGGAGAAAAGCTTTAATGTCATTCATTTTACATGCTCTTTCCTGAGAAAAGCTTTAATTCCTTTCCTCCGTGACTGTCTCATTCATTTTACATTCTCTTTCCTTCTTTAATCCCTTCCTCCTTTGACTGTCTCATTCATTTTACATGCTCTTTCCTGGAAAAAGCTTTAATTCCTTTCCTTCCGTGACTGTCTCATTCATTTTTTACATACTCTTTTTGACTTTCCCTCTTTTAATTTTTGACCGTCTCATTCATTTTTCCTGGGAAAGCTTTAAACTGTCTCATTCATTTTTCCTTTCAACTTCGTGACTGTCTCATTCATTTTACATGCTCTTTCCTGGAAAAGCTTTAATTCCTCTCCTTCGTGACCTGTCTCATTCATTTTACATGCTCTTTCCTGGAGAAAAGCTTTAATTCCTCTCCTTCGTGACTGTCTCATTCATTTTACATGCTCTTTCCTGGAAAAGCTTTAATTCCTCTCCTTCGTGACTGTCTCATTCATTTTCATACTCTTTCCTGGAAAAGCTTTAATTCCTTCTGTCTCATTGTCTTTCTTGACTGTCTCATTCAAATTGCTCACCTTTAATTTCTCCTGGAGAAAAGCTTTAATTCCTCTCCTTCGTGACTGTCTCATTCATTTTACATGCTCTTTCCTGGAAAAGCTTTAATTCCTCTCCTTCGTGACTGTCTCATTCATTTTTACATGCTCTTTCCTGGAGAATTCCTCTCCTTTAATTCCTCTCCTTCCTGACTGTCTCATTCATTTTACATGCTTTTTCTTTCTGGAGAAAAGCTTTAATTCCTCTCCTTCGTGACTGTCTCATTCATTTTTACATGCTCTTTCCTGGAGAAAGGCTTTAATTCCCCTCTCCTTCGTGACTGTCTCATTCATTTTACATACTCTTTCCTGGAGAAAAGCTTTTAATTCTCCTTCGTGACTGTCTCATTCATTTTACATGCTCTTTCCTGGAAAAAGCTTTAATTCCTCTCCTTCGTGACTGTCTCATTCATTTTTACATGCTCTTTCCTGGAAAAACTTTATTCCTCTCCTTCGTGACTGTCTCATTCATTTTACATGCTCTTTCCTGGAAAAAAGCTTTAATTCCTCTCCTTCGTGACTGTCTCTCATTCATTTTACATGCTCTTTCCTGGAGAAAGCTTTAATTCCTCTCCTTCGTGACTGTCTCATTCATTTTACATGCTCTTTCCTGGGAAAAGGCTTTAATTTTAACCTTCCTGTCTCATTCATTTTATCTTTTGGAGAAAGGCTCTAATTCCTCATTTTTGTCTCATTCTCTTTCCTTTTACATGTCTCTTCCTTTAATTCCTTTCTAGACTTTTAATTCCTCTCCTTCGTGACTGTCTCATTCATTTTACATGCTCTTTCCTGGAAGGCTTTAATTCCTCCTTCGTGACTGTCTCATTCATTTTACATGCTCTTTCCTGGAGAAGGCTTTAATTCCTCTCCTTCGTGACTGTCTCATTCATTTTACATGCTCTTTCCTGGGAAAGGCTTTAATTCCTCTCCTTCGTGACTGTCTCATTAATTTTACATGCTCTTTCCTGGAAAAGCTTTAATTCCTCTCCTTCGTGACTGTCTCATTCATTTTACATGCTCTTTCTTGGAAAAATTCCCTTTAATTCCTCTCCTTCGTGACTGTCTCATTCATTTTTCATTTACATGCTCTTTCCTGGAAAAGGCTTTAATTCCTCTCCTTCGTGACTGTCTCATTCATTTTACATGACTGTCTCATTCATTTTTCCTGGAGAAAGGCTTTAATTCCTCTCCTTCGTGACTGTCTCATTCATTTTACATGCTCTTTCCTGGAGAAAAGCTTTAATTCCTCTCCTTGGTCTCATTCATTTTACATGCTCTTTCCTGGAGAAAGGCACAATTCCTCTCCTTCGTGACTGTCTCATTCATTTTACATGCTCTTTCCTGGAAAGGCTTTAATTCCTCTCCTTCGTGACTGTCTCATTCATTTTACATGCTCTTTCCTGGAGAAAAGCTTTAATTCCTCTCCTTTGACTGTCATTCATTCTCATTCATTTTACATGCTCTTTCCTGGGAAAGGCTTTAATTCCTCTCCTTCGTGACTGTCTCATTCATTTTACATGCTCTTTCCTGGAGAAAAGCTTTTAATTCCTCTCCTTCGTGACTGTCTCATTCATTTTGTGCTCTTTCCTGGAGAAAGGCTTTAATTCCTCTCCTTCGTGACTGTCTCATTCATTTTACATGCTCTTTCCTGGAGAAAGCTTTAATTTCTCCTTCCTCTCCTTCATTGACTGTCTCATTCATTTTACATGCTCTTTCCTTCAGAATGCTCTTTCCTGGAGAAAATTCCTCTCCTTCGTGACTGTCTCATTCATTTTACATACTCTTTCCTGGAGAAAAGCTTTAATTCCTCTCCTTCGTGACTGTCTCATTCATTTTACATGCTCTTTCCTGGAGAAAGGCTTTAATTCCTCTCCTTCGTGACTGTCTCAATTTTTCCTTTCCTGGATAAAAGGCTTTCCTCCTTCGTGACTGTCTCATTCATTTTACATGCTCTTTCCTGGAAAAAGGCTTTAATTCCTCTCCTTCGTGACTGTCTCATTCATTTTACATGCTCTTTCCTGGAGAAAAGCTTTAATTCCTCTCCTTCGTGACTGTCTCATTCATTTTACATGCTCTTTCCTGGAGAAAAGCTTTAATTCCTCTCCTTCGTGACTGTCTCATTCATTTTACATGCTCTTTCCTGGAGAAAGGCTTTAATTCCTCTCCTTCGTGACTGTCTCATTCATTTTACATGCTCTTTCCTGGAGAAAAGCTTTAATTCCTCTCCTTCGTGACTGTCTCATTCATTTTACATGCTCTTTCTTGGAGAAAAGCTTTAATTCCTCTCCTTCGTGACTGTCTCATACTCTTTAGCTTTAATTCCTCCTTCGTGACCGTCGCATTCATTTACATATTCTCTTTCCTGGAAAAGCTTTTAATTCCTCTCCTGACCGTCTCATTCATTTTACATGCTCTTTCTTGGAGAAAATTTTAATTCCTCTCCTTCCTGTCTCATTCAGAAAGGCTTTAATTCCTCTCCTTCGTTACTGTCTCATGCATTTTACATGCTCTTTCCTGGAGAAAAGCTTTAATTCCTCTCCTTCGTGACTGTCTCATTCATTTTACATGCTCTTTCCTGGAGAAAGGCTTTAATTCCTCTCCTGACTGTCTGACTGTCTTTCCAAGCTTTAATTTTCCTTCATGACTGTCTCATTCCATGCTCTTTCCTGGGAAAAGCTTTAATTCCTCCTTCGTCTCCTTCATTTTTACATGCTCTTTCCTGGAAAAAACTGTCTCATCTCATTTTTACATGCTCTTTCCTGGAGAAAGGCTTTAATTCCTCTCCTTCGTGCTTTAATTCCTCTCCTTCGTGACTGTCTCATTCATTTTACATGCTCTTTCCTGGAGAAAAGCTTTAATTCCTCTCCTTCGTGACTGTCTCATTCATTTACATGCTCTTTCCTGGAGAAAGCTTTAATTCCTCTCCTTCGTGACTGTCTCATTCATTCTTTTGGGAAAACCTTAATTCCTCTTTCCTGGTGTCATTCATTTAATGCTCTTTCCTGGAAAGCTTTAATTCCTCTCCTTCGTGACTGTCTCATTCATTTTTACATGCTCTTTCCTGGAGAAAGGCTTTAATTCCTCTCCTTCGTGACTGTCTCATTCATTTTACATGCTCTTTCCTGGAGAAAGGCTTTAATTCCTCTCCTTCGTGACTGTCTCATTCATTTTACATGCTCTTTCCTGAGAAAAGCTTTAATTCCTCTCCTTCGTGACTGTCTCATTCATTTTACATGCTCTTTCCTGGAGAAAGGCTTTAATTCCTCTCCTTCGTGACTGTCTCATTCATTTTTACATGCTCTTTCCTGGGCTTTAATTCCTCTCCTTCGTCTCTCATTCTCACTCTTTCATTTTCTCATGTGACTGTCTCATTCATTTTTTCCTGGAGAAAAGGTCTCATTCATTTTACATGCTCTTTCCTGGAGAAAGGCTTTAATTCCTCTCCTTCGTGACTGTCTCATTCATTTTTACATGCTCTTTCCTGGAAAAAGGCTTTAATTCCTCTCCTTCGTGACTGTCTCATTCATTTTTACATGCTCTTGAGAAAAGGCTTTAATTCCTCTCCTTCGTGACTGTCTCATTCATTTTACATGCTCTTTCCTGGAAAGCTTTAATTCCTCTCCTTCGTGACTGTCTCATTCATTTTACATGCTCTTTCCTGGAGAAAAGCTTTAATTCCTCTCCTTCGTGACTGTGTCATTCATTTTACATGCTCTTTCCTGGATAAAGGCCTTTTAATTCCTCTCCTTCGTGACTGTCTCATTCATTTTACATGCTCTTTCCTGGAGAAAGCTTTAATTCCTCTCCTTCGTGACTGTCTCATTCATTTTACATGCTCTTTCCTGGGAAAGGCTTTAATTCCTCTCCTTCGTGACTGTCTCATTCATTTTACATGCTCTTTCCTGGAGAAAGGCTTTAATTCCTCTCCTTCGTGACTGTCTCATTCATTTTACATGCTCTTTCCTGGAGAAAGGCTTTAATTCCTCTCCTTCGTGACTGTCTCATTCATTTTTACATGCTCTTTCCTGGATAAAAGCTTTAATTCCTCTCCTTCGTGACTGTCATTCATTTTCACTCTTTTGGAGAAAAGCTTTAATTCCTGTCTGTCTTTCTCTGGAGCTCTTTCCTTCAAAGCTTTAATTCCTCTTTCGTGACCGTCTCTCATTCATTTTACACTCTTTCCTGGAGAAAAGATTTAATTCCTCTCCTTCGTGACTGTCTCATTCATTTTACATGCTCTTTCCTGGAGAAAGGCTTTAATTCCCTCCTTCCTCTCCTTGTCTCATTCATTTTACATGCTCTTTCCTGGAGAAAGGCTTTAATTCCTCTCCTTCGTGACTGTCTCATTCACTGTCTCATTCATTTATATGCTCTTTCCTGGAGAAAAGCTTTAATTCCTCTCCTTCGTGACTGTCTCATTCATTTTACATGCTCTTTCCTGGAGAAGGCTTTAATTCCTCTCCTTCGTGATTGTCTCATTCATTTTACATGCTCTTTCCTGGAGAAAACTTTAATTCCTCTCCTTCTTGACTGTCTCATTCATTTTACATGTCTCTCTTTCCTGGAGAAAGCTTTAATTCCTCTCCTTCGTGACTGTCTCATTCATTTTACATGCTCTTTCCTGGAGAAAGGCCTTTAATTCCTCCCTACTTCGTGACTGTCTCATTCATTTTACATGCTCTCTTTTCCTGGAGAAAGGCTTTAATTCCTCTCCTTCGTGACTGTCTCATTCATTTTACATGCTCTTTCCTGGAGAAAGGCTTTAATTCCTCTCCTTCGTGACTGTCTCATTCATTTTTACATGCTCTTTCCTGGAGAAAAGCTTTAATTCCTCTCCTTCGTGACTGTCTCATTCATTTTACATGCTCTTTCCTGGGAAAGGCTTTAATTCCTCTCCTTCGTGACTGTCTCATTCATTTTACATGCTCTTTCCTGGAGAAAGCTTTAATTCCTCTCCTTCGTGATTGTCTCATTCATTTTACATGCTCTTTCTGGAGAAAAGCTTTAATTCCTCTCCTTCGTGACTGTCTCATTCATTTCATGCTCTTTCCTTTTAATTCCTCTCCTTCCGTGACCGTCTCATTCATTTTACATGCTCTTTCCTGGAAAGGCTTTAATTCCTCTCCTTCGTGACCTGTCTCATTCATTTCATGCTCTTTCCTGGAGAAAGCTTCATTCTTCTCCTTCGTGATTGTCTCATTCAATGCTCTTTCCTGGAGAAAGGCTTTAATTCCTCTCCTTCGTGACTGTCTCATTCATTTTACATGCTCCTTTCCTGGATAAAAGGCTTTAATTCCTCTCCTTCGTGACTGTCTCATTCATTTTACATGCTCTTTCCTGGAGAAAAGCTTTAATTCCTCTCCTCCTGATTGTCTCATTCATTTTACATGCTCTTTCCTCTCCTAATTCCTCTCCTTCTTTGACTGTCTCATTCATTTTTTACATGCTCTTTCCTGGAGAAAGCTTTTAATTCCCTCCTTCTCCTTCGTACTGTCTCACTTTCTCATTCATTTTACATGCTCTTTCCTGGAGAAAGGCTTTAATTCCTCTCCTTCGTGACTGTCTCATTCATTTTACATGCTCTTTCCTGGAGAAAAGCTTTAATTCCTCTCCTTCGTGACTGTCTCATTCATTTTACATGCTCTTTCTTGGAGAAAAGCTTTAATTCCTCTCCTTCGTGACTGTCTCATTCATTTTACATGCTCTTTCCTGGAGAAAAGCTTTAATTCCTCTCCTTCGTGACCGTCTCATTCATTTTACATGCTCTTTCCTGGAGAAAAGATTTAATTCCTCTCCTTCGTGACCGTCTCATTCATTTTACATGCTCTTTCCTGGAGAAAGGCTTTAATTCCTCTCCTTCGTGACTGTCTCATTCATTTTACATGCTCTTTCCTGGAGAAAGGCTTTAATTCCTCTCCTTCGTGACTGTCTCATTCATTTTACATGCTCTTTCCTGGAGAAGCTTTAATTCCTCTCCTTTCCGTCTCCTTTACTGTCTCATTCATTTTACATGCTCTTTCCTTTAATTCTCTCCTTCGTGACTGTCTCATTCATTTTTACATGCTCTTTCCTGGAGAAAGGCTTTAATTCCTCTCCTTCGTGACTGTCTCATTCATTTTCATGCTCTTTCCTGGGAAAGGCCTTTAATTCCTCTCCTTCGTGACTGTCTCATTCATTTTACATGCTGGAAAAGCTTTAATTTCCTCGTGACTGTCTCATTCATTTTACAAGCTCTTTCCTGGGAAAATTCCTCTCCTTCGTGACTGTCTCATTCATTTTACATGCTCTTTCCTGGAGAAAAGCTTTAATTCCTCTCCTTCGTGACTGTCTCATTCATTTTTTACATGCTCTTTCCTGGAGAAAGGCTTTAATTCCTCTCCTTCGTGACTGTCTCATTCATTTTACATGCTCTTTCCTGGCTTTTAATTCCCCTCCTTCGTGACTGTCTCATTCATTTTACATGCTCTTTCCTGGAGAAAAGCTTTAATTCCTCTCCTTCGTGACTGTCTCATTCATTTTACATGCTCTTTCCTGGAGAAAAGCTTTAATTCCTCTCCTTCGTGACTGTCTCATTCATTTTACATGCTCTTTCCTGGAGAAAGGCTTTAATTCCTCTCCTTCGTGACTGTCTCATTCATTTTACATGCTCTTTCCTGGAGAAAAGCTTTAATTCCTCTCCTTCGTGACTGTCTCATTCTGTCTCTTTCATTTAATTCCCTCTCCTTCAATGACTATCTCATTCATTTACGCCTCTTTCCTGGAGAAAAGCTTTAATTCCTCTCCTTCGTGACTGTCTCATTCATTTTACATGCTCTTTCCTGGAGAAAGGCTTTAATTCCTCTCCTTCGTGACTGTCTCATTCATTTTTTACATGCTCTTTCCTGGAAAGGCTTTAATTCCTCCTTCGTGACTGTCTCATTCATTTTACATGCTCTTTCCTGGAGAAAGGCTTTAATTCCTCTCCTTCGTGACTGTCTCATTCATTTTACATGCTCTTTCCTGGGAAAGGCTTTAATTCCTCTCCTTCGTGACTGTCTCATTCATTTTTACATACTCTTTCCTGGAGAAAAGGCTTTAATTCCTCTCCTTCATGACTGTCTCATTCATTTTACATGCTCTTTCCTGGAGAAAAATTCCCTCTCCTTCGTGACTGTCTCATTCATTTTACATACTCTTTCCTGGAGAAAGGCTTTAATTCCTCTCCTTCGTGACTGTCTCATTCATTTACATGCTCTTTCCTGGGAAAAGCTTTAATTCCTCTCCTTCGTGACTGTCTCATTCATTTTACATGCTCTTTCCTGCTCTTTCTCCTTTTTCTGTCTCATTCATTTTACATGCTCTTTCCTGGAAAAAAGGCTTTAATTCCTCTCCTTCGTGACTGTCTCATTCATTTTACATGCTCTTTCCTGGAGAAAGGCTTTAATTCCTCTCCTTCGTGACTGTCTCATTCATTTTTACATGCTCTTTCCTGGAGGCTTTAATTCCCTCCTTCGTGACTGTCTCATTCATTTTACATGCTCTTTCCTGGAGAAAGGCTTTAATTCCTTTCCTTCGTGACCGTCTCATTCATTTTACATGCTCTTTCCTGGGAAAGCTTTAATTCCTCTCCTTCGTGACTGTCTCATTCATTTTACATGCTCTTTCCTGGAAAAGGCTTTAATTCCCTCCTTCGTGACTGTCTCATTCATTTTACATGCTCTTTCCTGGAGAAAGGCTTTAATTCCTCTCCTTCGTGACTGTCTCATTCATTTTACATGCTCTTTCCTGGAGAAAAGCTTTAATTCCTCTCCTTCGTGACTGTCTCATTCATTTTCATGCTCTTTCCTGGAGAAAGGCTTTGGTCCTCTCCTTCGTGACTGTCTCTCATTCATTTTACATGCTCTTTCCTGGATTGTCTCAAATGCTCTTTTTTAATTCCTCTCCTTCGTGACTGTCTCATTCATTTTTACATGCTCTTTCCTGGAAAAAAGCTTTAATTCCTCCTTCCTCTCATTCATTTGACATGTCTCATTCATTTTCATTCATGCTCTTTCCTGGAGAAAAAGCTTTAATTCCTCTCCTTCGTGACTGTCTCATTCATTTTACATGCTCTTTCCTGGGAAAAGCTTTTAATTCCTCTCCTTCGTGACTGTCTCTCATTCATTTTACATGCTCTTTCCTGCTCTTTCCTGGAAAGGCTTTAATTCCTCTCCTTCGTGACTGTCTCATTCATTTTTACATGCTCTTTCCCTTTAATTCCTCTCCTTCGTGACTGTCTCATTCATTTTACATACTCTTTCCTGGAGAAAGGCTTTAATTCCTCTCCTTCGTGACTGTCTCATTCATTTTACATGCTCTTTCCTGGAGAAAGGCTTTAATTCTCTCCTTCGTGACTGTCTCATTCATTTTACATGCTCTTTCCTGGAGAAAAGCTTTAATTCCTCTCCTTCGTGACTGTCTCATTCATTTTACAACTCTTTCCCTTTAATTCCTCTCCTTCGTGACTGTCTCATTCATTTTACATGCTCTTTCCTGGGAAAAGCTTTAATTCCTCTCCTTCGTGACTGTCTCATTCATTTTTACATGCTCTTTCCTGGAGAAAGGCTTTAATTCCTCTCCTTCGTGACTGTCTCATTCATTTTACATGCTCTTTCCTGGAGAAAGGCTTTAATTCCTCTCCTTCGTGACTGTCTCATTCATTTTACATGCTCTTTCCTGGAGAAAGGCTTTAATTCCTCTCCTTCGTGACTGTCTCATTCATTTTACATGCTCTAGGAGAAAGGCTTTAATTCCTCTACTTCGTGACTGTTTCCTGGAGTCTCAAAGGGCTTTAATCCCTCTCCTTCGTGACTGTCTCATTCATTTTACATGCTCTTTCCTGGGAAAAGCTTTAATTCCTCTCCTTCGTGACTGTCTCATTCATTTTACATGCTCTTTCCTGGGAAAAGCTTTAATTCCTCTCCTTCGTGACTGTCTCATTCATTTTACATGCTCTTTCCTGGAGAAAGGCTTTAATTCCTCTCCTTCGTGACTGTCTCATTCATTTTACATACTCTTTCCTGGAGAAAAGCTTTAATTCCTCTCCTTCGTGACTGTCTCATTCATTTTACATGCTCTTTCCTGGAGAAAGGCTTTAATTCCCTCCTTCGTGACTGTCTCATTCATTTTACATGCTCTTTCCTGGAAAAAGCTTTAATTCCTCTCCTTCGTGTCTCTGTTCATTTTACATTACTCTTTCCTGGAAAGGCATTTTCCTATCCTTCATGACATCTCATTCATTTTACATACTCTTTCTGGAGAAAAGCTTTAATTCCTCTCCTTCGTGACTGTCTCATTCATTTTACTACTCTTTCCTCTTTAATTCCTCTCCTTCGTTTCTCATTCATTTTACATGCTCTTTCCTGGAAAAAGCTTTAATTCCTCTCCTTCGTGACTGTCTCATTCATTTTACATGCTCTTTCCTGGAGTAAAAGCTTTAATTCCTCTCCTTCGTGACTGTCTCATTCATTTTACATGCTCTTTCCTGGAGAAAGGCTTTAATTCCTTCTCCTTCGTTACTGTCTCATTCATTTTACATACTCTTTCCCTGGATAAAAAGCTTTAATTCCTCTCCTTCGTGACTGTCTCATTCATTTTACATGCTCTTTCCTGGAGAAGGCTTTAATTCCTCTCCTTCGTGACTGTCTCATTCATTTTACATCTCTTTCCCTGGAAAAGCTTTAATTCCTCTCCTTCACTTCGTCTCATTCATTTTACAAGCTCTTTCCTGGAGAAAGGCTTTAATTCCTCTCCTTCGTGACTGTCTCATTCATTTTACATGCTCTTTCCTTGGCTTTAATTCCCTCTCCTTCGTACTGTCTCATTCAAAAAAGCTTTAATTCCTCTCCTTCGTGACTGTCTCATTCATTTTACATAAAAGGCTCCTTCGTACTGTCTCATTCCTTTCTTTCTGGTGAAAGGCTTTATTCCTCATTCATTTTCATTCATACTCTTTCCTGGAAAAGGCTTTAATTCCTCTCCTTCGTGACTGTCTCATTCATTTTACATGCTCTTTCCTGGAGAAAGGCTTTAATTCCTCTCCTTCGTGACTGTCTCATTCATTTTACATTCATTTTTCTCTTTCCTGGAGAAAGGCTTTAATTCTCTCCTTCGTGACTGTCTCTCATTCATTTTTACATACTCTTTCCTGGAGAAAGGCTTTAATTCCTCTCCTTCGTGACTGTCTCATTCATTTTACATGCTCTTTCCTGGAGAAAAGCTTTAATTCCTCTCCTTCGTGACCGTCTCATTCATTTACATGCTCTTTCCTGGAGAAAGGCTTTAATTCCTCTCCTTCGTGACTGTCTCATTCATTTACATTCTCTTTCCTGGAGAAAGGCTTTAATTCCTCTCCTTCGTGACTGTCTCATTCACTCTTTTTAAATGCTCTTTCCTGGGCTGTCTCATTCATTTAATGCTCTTTCCTGGAATTCCCTCTCCTTCGTGACTGTCTCATTCATTTTTACATGCTCTTTCCTGGAGAAAAGCTTTAATTCCTCTCCTTCGTGACTGTCTCATTCATTTTACATGCTCTTTCCTGGAGAAAGATTTAATTCCTCTCCTTCGTGACTGTCTCATTCATTTTACATGCTCTTTCCTGGGGCTTTAATTCCTCTCCTTCGTTACTCATTCATTTTTCATTTCCTGGAGAAAGGCTTTAATTCCTCTCCTTTCTCATTCATTTTAAAAGGCTTTAATTCCTCTCCTTCGTGACTGTCTCATTCATTTTTACATGCTCTTTCCTGGAGAAAGGCTTTAATTCCTCTCCTTCATGACTGTCTCATTCATTTTTTACATACTCTTTCCTGGGAAAGGCTTTAATTCCCTCCTTCGTGACTGTCTCATTCATTTTACATGCTCTTTCCTGGAGACTGTCTCATTAATTCCTCTCCTTCGTGACTGTCTCATTCATTTTACATACTCTTTCCTGGAGAAAGGCTTTAATTCCTCTCCTTCGTGATCTGTCATTTCATTTTTCCTGGAAAGGCTTTAATTTCCATGCTGCTCTTTCCTGGAGAAAGGCTTTAATTCCTCTCCTTTTCTCATTCATTTTACTCTTTCCTGGAGAAAAGCTTTAATTCCTCTCCTTCGTGACTGTCTCATTCATTTTACATGCTCTTTCCTGGAAAAGGCTTTAATTCCTCGCCTTCGTGATTGTCTCATTCATTTTACATGCTCTTTCCTGGAGAAAAGCTTTAATTCCTCTCCTTCGTGACTGTCTCATTCATTTTACATGCTCTTTCCTGGAAAAAGGCTTTAATTCCTCTCCTTCGTGACTGTCTCATTCATTTTACATGCTCTTTCCTGGAGAAAGGCTTTAATTCCTCTCCTTCGTGACTGTCTCATTCATTTTACATGCTCTTTCCTGGAGAAAAGCTTTAATTCCTCTCCTTCGTGACTGTCTCATTCATTTTACATGCTCTTTCCTGGAGAAAGGCTTTAATTCCTCTCCTTCGTTACTGTCTCATTCATTTTACATGCTCTTTCCTGGAGAAAAGCTTTAATTCCTCTCCTTCGTGACAGTCTCATTCATTTTACATGCTCTTTCCTGGAGAAAAGCTTTAATTCCTTTCCTCCGTGACCGTCTCATTCATTTTACATGCTCTTTCCTGGAGAAAAGCTTTAATTCCTCTCCTTCGTGACTGTCTCATTCATTTTACATGCTCTTTCCTGGAGAAAAGCTTTAATTCCTCACATTCGTGACTGTCTCATTCATTTACATGCTCTTTCCTGGAGAAAAGGCTTTAATTCCTCTCCTTCGTGACTGTCTCATTCATTTTACATGCTCTTTCCTGGAAAAGCTTTAATTCCTCTCCTTCGTGACTGTCTCATTCATTTTACATGCTCTTTCCTGGAGAAAAGCTTTAATTCCTCTCCTTCATTCATTTGCTCTGTCTCATTCATTTTGTCTCATTCATTTTATGCTCTTTCCTGGAGAAAAGCTTTAATTCCTCTCCTTCGTGACTGTCTCATTCATTTTACATGCTCTTTCCTGGGAAAAGCTTTGTTCCTCTCCTTCGTGACTGTCTCATTCATTTACATGCTCTTTCCTGGAGAAAAGCTTTAATTCCTCTCCTTCGTGATTGTCTCATTCATTTTACATGCTCTTTCCTGGAGAAAAGCTTTAATTCCTCTCCTTCGTGACTGTCTCATTCATTTTACATGCTGGAAAGGTTTTAATTTTCCTTCGTGAGAAAAGCTTTTAATTTAATTCTCCTTCGTGACTGTCTCATTTCATTTTTACATGCTCTTTCCTGGAGAAAAGCTTTAATTCCTCTCCTTCGTGACTGTCTCATTCATTTTACATGCTCTTTCCTGGAAAAGCTTTAATTCCTTTCTTTCGTGACTGTCTCATTCATTTACATGCTCTTTCCTGGAGAAAAGCTTTAATTCTCCTCTCCTTCGTGACCGTGTCATTCATTTTTACATGCTCTTTCCAGGAGAAAAGCTTTAATTACTTTCCTCCGTGACCGTCTCATTCATTTTACATGCTCTTTCCTGGAGAAAGGCTTTAATTCCTCTCCTTCGTGACTGTCTCATTCATTTTACATGCTCTTTCCTGGAGAAAGGCTTTAATTCCTCTCCTTCGTGACTGTCTCATTCATTTATGCTCTTTCCTGGAGAAAAGCTTTAATTCCTCTCCTTCGTGACTGTCTCATTCATTTTACATGCTCTTTCCTGGAGAAAGCTTTAATTCCTCTCCTTCGTGACTGTCTCATTCATTTTACATGCTCTTTCCTGGAGAAAAGCTTTAATTCCTCTCCTTCGTGACCGTCTCATTCATTTTACATGCTCTTTCCTGGAGAAAAGCTTTAATTCCTTTCCTCCGTGACCGTCTCATTCATTTTACATGGTCTTTCCTGGAGAAAGGCTTTAATTCCTCTCCTTCGTGATTGTCTCATTCATTTTACATGCTCTTTCCTGGAGAAAGGCTTTAATTCCTCTCCTTCGAGACTGTCTCATTCATTTTACATGCTCTTTCCTGGAGAAAGGCTTTAATTCCTCTCCTTCGTGACTGTCTCATTCATTTTATTCATGCTCTTTCCTGGAGAAAGGCTTTTAATTCCTCTCCTTCGTGACTGTCTCATTCATTTTACATACTCTTTCCTGGAGAAAGGCTTTAATTCCTCTCCTTCGTGACTGTCTCATTCATTTTATATGCTCTTTCCTGGAGAAAAGGTTTAATTCTCTCCTTCGTGACTGTCTCATTCATTTTACATGCTCTTTCCTGGAGAAAGGCTTTAATTCCTCTCCTTCGTGACTGTCTCATTCATTTTACATGCTCTTTCCTGGAAAGGCTTTAATTCCTCTCCTTCGTGACTGTCTCATTCATTTTGTGCTCTTTCCTGGAGAAAGGCTTTAATTCCTCTTTCCTTTCCTGGAGAAATAATTCCTCTCCTTCGTGACTGTCTCATTCATTTTACATGCTCTTTCCTGGAGAAAGCTTTAATTCCTCTCCTTCGTGACTGTCTCATTCATTTTACATGCTCTTTCCTGGAGAAAGGCTTTAATTCCTCTCCTTCGTGACTGTCTCATTCATTTTACATGCTCTTTCCTGGAGAAAGGCTTTAATTCCTCTCCTTCGTGACTGTCTCATTCATTTTACATACTCTTTCCTGGAAAAGCTTTAATTCCTCTCCTTCGTGACTGTCTCATTCATTTTACATGTACTCTTTCCTGGGGCTTTAATTCCTTCCTTCGTGACTGTCTCATTCATTTTACATGCTCTTTCCTGGAGAAAGGCATTAATTCCTATCCTTCATGACTGTCTCATTCATTTTTACATGCTCTTTCCTGGAGAAAGCTTTAATTCCTCTCCTTCGTGACTGTCTCATTCATTTTTACATGCTCTTTCCCTCTCCTTCGTGACTGTCTCATTCATTTTACATACTCTTTCCTGGAGAAAGGCTTTAATTCCCCTTTCCTTCGTGACTGTCTCATTCATTTTACATGCTCTTTCCTGGAAAAGCTTTAATTTTGTCTCTTTCCTCTCCTTCGTGACTGTCTCATTCATTTTACATGCTCTTTCCTGGAGAAAAGCTTTAATTCCTCTCCTTCGTGACTGTCTCATTCATTTACATGCTCTTTCCTGGAGAAAAGCTTTAATTCCTCCTTCGTGACAGTCTCATTCATTTTACATGCTCTTTCCTGGAAAAAGCTTTAATTCCTCTCCATCGTGACCGTCTCATTCATTTTACATGCTCTTTCCTGGAAAGCTTTAATTCCTCTCCTTCGTGACCGTCTCATTCATTTTACATGCTCTTTCTTTAATTTTCCTTCGTGACTGACTGTTCAGACAAGGCTTTAATTCCCTCTCCTTCGTGACTGTCTCATTCATTTTTTACTCTTTCCTGGAAAAGCTTTAATTCCTCTCCTTCATGACTGTCTCATTCATTTTACATGCTCTTTCCTGGAAAAGCTTTTAATTCCTCTCCTTCGTGACTGTCTCATTCATTTTTACATGCTCTTTCTTGGAGAAAGCTTTAATTCCTCTCCTTCGTGACTGTCTCATTCATTTCCATGCTCTTTCCTGGAAAGGCTTTAATTCCTCTCCTTCGTGACTGTCTCATTCATTTTACACTCTCCTGGAAAAGCTCTTTCCTGGATAAATGCTCTTTGAGAATTCCTTCATTCGTGACTGTCTCATTCATTTTACATGCTCTTTCCTGGAGAAAAGCTTTAATTCCTCTCCTTCGTGATTGTCTCATTCATTTTACATGCTCTTTCCTGAAAGGCTTTAATTCCCTCTCCTTCGTGACTGTCTCATTCATTTTACATACTCTTTCCTGGAGAAAAAGCTTTAATTCCTCTCCTTCGTGATGTCTCATTCATTTTACATGCTCTTTCCTGGGAAAGGCTTTAATTCCTCTCCTTCGTGACTGTCTCATTCATTTTACATGCTCTTTCCTGGAAAAGCTTTAATTCCTCTCCTTCGTGATTGTCTCATTCATTTTACATGCTCTTGGAAAAAGCTTTAATTCCTGTCTTTCGTGACTGTCTCATTCATTTTACATGCTCTTTCCTGGAGAAAGCTTTAATTCCTCTCCTTCGTGACTGTCTCATTCATTTTACATGCTCTTTCCTGGAGAAAGCTTTAATTCCTCTCCTTGTGACCGTCTCATTCATTTTTACATGCTCTTTCCTGGAAAAGGCTTTAATTCCTCTCCTTCGTGACTGTCTCATTCATTTTACATACTCTTTTTCCTCTCATTCAAATGCTCTTTCCTGGAAAGCTTTAATTCCTCTCCTTCGTGACTGTCTCATTCATTTTACATGCTCTTTCTTGGAGAAAAGCTTTAATTCCCTCCTTCATTGACTGTCTCATTCATTTTACATGCTCTTTCTGGAGAAGGCTTTAATTCCTCTACTTCGTGACTGTCTCATTCATTTACATGCTCTTTCCTGGAGAAAAGCTTTAATTCCTCTCCTTGTGACTGTCTCATTCATTTACATGCTCTTTCCTGGAGAAAAGCTTTAATTCCTCTCCTTCGTGACTGTCTCATTCATTTACATGCTCTTTCTTGGAAAAAGCTTTAATTCCTCTCCTTCGTGACTGTCTCATTCATTTTACATGCTCTTTCCTGGAAAGGCTTTAATTCCTCTCCTTCGTGACTGTCTCATTCATTTTACATGCTCTTTCCTGGAGAAAAGCTTTAATTCCTCTCCTTCGTGACTGTCTCATTCATTTTTGTGCTCTTTCCTGGAAAAAAGGCTTTAATTCCTCTCCTTCGTGACTGTCTCATTCATTTTACATGCTCCTTTCCTGGGAAAGGCTTTAATTCCCTCTCCTTCGTGACTGTCTCATTCATTTTACATGCTCTTTCCTGGAGAAAGGCTTTAATTCCTCTCCTTCGTGACTGTCTCATTCATTTACATGCTCTTTCCTGGAGAAAAGCTTTAATTCTCTCCTTCTCCTTCATTCATTTGTCTCCTGGAAAATTCATTTTTACATTTATACTCTTTCCTGGAGAAAGCTTTTAATTCCTCTCCTTCGTGACTGTCTCATTCATTTTACATGCTCTTTCCTGGAGAAAGGCTTTAATTCCTCTCCTTCGTGATTGTCTCATTCATTTATGCTCTTTCCTGGAGAAAAGCTTTAATTCCTCTCCTTCGTGACTGTCTCATTCATTTTACATGCTCTTTCCTGGAAAAAGCTTTAATTCCTCTCCTTCGTGACTGTCTCATTCATTTTACATACTCTTTCCTGGAAAAGGCTTTAATTCCTCTCCTTCGTGACTGTCTCATTCATTTTACATGCTCTTTCCTGGGAAAAGCTTTAATTCCCCTCCTTCGTGACTGTCTCATTCATTTTACATGCTCTTTCCTGGAGAAAGCTTTAATTCCTGTCTTTAATCTCCTCTCCTTCGTGACTGTCTCATTCATTTTACATACTCTTTCCTGGAGAAAAGCTTTTAATTCCTCACCTTCGTACTGTCTCATTCATTTTACATGCTCTTTCCTGGAGAAAGGCTTTAATTCCTCTCCTTCGTGACTGTCTCATTCATTTTACATACTCTTTCCTGGAGAAAAGGCTTTAATTCCTCTCCTTCGTGACTGTCTCATTCATTGCTCTCCTTTTTATTCATGCTCTTTCCTGGAGAAAGGCTTTAATTCTCTCCTTCGTGACTGTCTCATTCATTTACATGCTCTTTCCTGGAGAAAGCATTCCTCTCCTTTAATTCCATTCTCATTTCGTGACGCTTTAATTGTCTCATTCACTGTTTTCATACTCTTTCCTGGAAAGGCTTTAATTCCTCTCCTTCGTGACTGTCTCATTCATTTTACATGCTCTTTCCTGGAGTCTCATTCAAAGGCTCTGGAGAAATTCCCTCTCCTTCGTGACTGTCTCATTCATTTTACATCCTCTTTCCTGGAAAAAAAGCTCTTTAATTCCTATCCTTCATTGACTGTCTCATTCATTTTACATGCTCTTTCCTGGAGAAAAGCTTTAATTCCTCTCCTTCGTGACTGTCTCATTCATTTCATGCTCTTTCCTGGAGAAAGGCTTTAATTCAAACCTTATTGACTGTCTCATTCATTTTACAAGCTCTTTCCTGGAGAAAAGCTTTAATTCCTCTCCTTCGTGACTGTCTCATTCATTTTACTTTAATTCCTCTCCTTCTGTGACAGTCTCATTTTTTTCCTTTGGAGAAAAGCTTTAATTCCTCTCCTTCGTGACTGTCTCATTCATTTTACATGCTCTTTCCTGGAGAAAAGCTTTAATTCCTCTCCTTAGTGACTGTCTCATTCATTTTACATACTCTTTCCTGGAGAAAAATTCCTCTCCTTTACTTCTCTCATTCATTCCATTCCTCCGTGACCCTTCTGTGAAAATTTAATTCCTCTCTTCGTGACCGTCTCATTTTTACATGCTCTTTCCTGGAGGCTTTAATTCCTCTCCTTCGTGACTGTCTCATTCATTTTTACATGCTCTTTCCTGGAGAAAGGCTTTAATTCCTCTCCTTCGTGACTGTCTCATTCATTTTACATGCTCTTTCCTGGAGAAAAGCTTTAATTCCTCTCCTTCGTGACTGTCTCATTCATTTTACATGCTCTTTCCTGGGAAAGGCTTTAATTCCAAACCTTCGTGACTGTCTCATTCATTTACAGCTCTTTCTTGGAAAAGCTTTAATTCCTCTCCTTCGTGACTGTCTCATTCATTTTTACATGCTCTTTCCTGGAGAAAACTTTTAATTCCTCTCCTTCCTGACAGTCTCCTTCATTTTACATGCTCTTTCCTGGAAAAGCTTTAATTCCTCTCCTTCGTGACTGTCTCATTCATTTTTCATGCTCTTTCTTGGAAAATTAATTCCTCTCCTTCATTCATTCTGTCTTTCATTTTTACATAAGCTCTTTCCTGGAGAAAAGCTTTAATTCCTCTCCTTCGTGACTGTCTCATTCATTTTACATGCTCTTTCCTGGAAAGGCTTTAATTCTCTCCTTCGTGACTGTCTCATTCATTTTACATGCTCTTTCCTGGAGAAAGGCTTTAATTCCTCTCCTTCGTGACTGTCTCATTCATTTTACATGCTCTTTCCTGGAGAAAAAGGTTTAATTTCTTCATGACTCTCCTTCATTTTACATGCTCTTTCCTGGAGGGCTTTAATTCATTTTACACTGTCTCATTCATTTTTCTTTTTCCTGAAAGGCTTTAATTCCTCTCCTTCGTGACTGTCTCATTCATTTTACATGCTCTTTCCTGGAAAGGCTTTAATTCCTCTCCTTCGTGACTGTCTCATTCATTTTACATACTCTTTCCTGGAGAAAAGATTGAATTTCTCCTTCGTGACTGTCTCATTCATTTTTACATGCTCTTTCCTGGAGAAAGGCTTTAATTCCTCTCCTTCGTGACTGTCTCATTCATTTTACATGCTCTTTCCTGGAAAAGCTTTAATTCCTTCGTGACTGTCTTATTCATTTTATGCTCTTTCCTAGTAAAGCTTTAATTCCTCCTTCGTCCTCTCATTATTTTACATGCTCTTTCCTGGAAAAGCTTTAATTCCTCTCCTTCGTGACTGTCTCATTCATTTCATGCTCTTTCCTGGAGAAAGCTTTAATTCCTCTCCTTCGTGATTGTCTCATTCATTTTTACGTACTCTTTCTGGAAAGGCTTTAATTCCCTCTCCTTCGTGACTGTCATTCATTTCATTTCTCTTTCCTGGAGAAAGGCTTTAATTCCTCTCCTTCGTGACTGTCTCATTCATTTACATGCTCTTTCCTTGAGAAAGCTTTAATTCCTCTCCTTCGTGACTGTCTCATTCATTTTACATACTCTTTCCTGGAGAAAGGCTTTAATTCCTCTCCTTCATGACTGTCTCATTCATTTTACATGCTCTTTCTTGGAGAAAAGCATTAATTCCTATCCTTCGTGACTGTCTCATTCATTTTTACATACTCTTTCCTGGAGAAAAGCTTTAATTCCTCTCCTTCGTGACTGTCTCATTCATTTTACATATTTTCCTAATTCCTCTCCTTCGTGGCCTGTCTCATTCATTTTACATGCTCTTTCCTGGAGAAAGGCTTTAATTCCTCTCCTTCGTGACTGTCTCATTCATTTCATGCTCTTTCCTGGAGAAAGGCTTTAATTCTCTCTTCGTGAAGTCTCATTCATTTTACATGTCTCTTTTGGAGAAAGCTTTAATTCCTTTCCTTCGTGACCGTCTCATTCATTTTACATACCTCTTTCCTGGAGAAAGGCTTTAATTCCTTTAATTGACCGTCTCATTCATTTTACATGCTCATTCCTGACTTTAATTCTCTCCTTCGTGATTTTTCATTTTACATACTCTTTCCTGGAGAAAAAGCTTTAATTCCTCTCCTTCGTGACTGTCTCATTCATTTACATACTCTTTCCTGGAGAAAGGCTTTAATTCCTCTCCTTCGTGACTGTCTCATTCATTTTACATGCTCTTTCCTTGAGAAAGGCTTTAATTCCTCTCCTTCGTGACTGTCTCATTCATTTTACATGCTCTTTCCTGGAGAAAAGCTTTAATTCCTCTCCTTCGTGACTGTCTCATTCATTTTACATGCTCTTTCTTGGAGAAAAGCTTTAATTCCTGTCTTTAGTGACTGTCTCATTCATTTTACATGCTCTTTCCTGGAGAAAAGCTTTAATTCCTCTCCTTCGTGACCGTCTCATTCATTTTACATGCTCTTTCCTGGAGAAAAGATTTAATTCCTCTACTTCGTGACCGTCTCATTCATTTTACATGCTCTTTCCTGGAGAAAGGCTTTAATTCCTCTCCTTCGTGACTGTCTCATTCATTTTACATGCTCTTTCCTGGAGAAAGGCTTTAATTCCTCTCAGCATTGACTGTCTCATTCATTTTTTACATGCTCTTTCCTGGAGTAAAAATTCTCTCTCCTTCGTGACTGTCTCATTCATTTTTTACATGCTCTTTCCTGGAGAAAAGGCTTTAATTCCTGACGGTCTCCATTTTATTCTTTCTACTGTCTCATTCATTTTTACTCTTTCCTGGAAAAAGCTTTAAATTCCTCTCCTTCATGACTGTATTTTTAATTCTTTTCTCTTTAATTCCCTTTCGTGACCGTCTCATTCATTTTACATGCTCTTTCCTGGAAAAGCTTTAATTCCCTCTCCTTCATGACCATCCATTCATTTTACATGCTCTTTCTGGAAAAGCTTTAATTCTTCTCCTTCGTGACTGTCTCATTCATTTTACATGCTCTTTCCTGGTAGCTTGTTCTCTCCTTCGTGACTGTCTCATTCATTTTTACATGCTTTTTTTCCTGGAGAAAAGCTTTAATTCCTCTCCTCCGTGACCGTCTCATTCATTTTACATGCTATTTCCTGGAGAAACTTTAATTTCTTTCCTGGGCTTTAATTTCAAACTTCGTGACTGTCTCATTCTCTTTCTGCTTGACTTTAATTCCTCTCCTCATTCATTTTACATGCTCTTTCCTGAAAGGCACATTCCCCTCTCCTTCATGTGACAGTCTCATTCATTTTACATGCTCTTTCCTGGAGAAAAAGCTTTAATTCCCCTCTCCTTCGTGACTGTCATTCATTTTACATACTCTTTCTTAGGAAACTTCAATTCCTCTCCTTCATGACTGTCTCATTCATTTACATGCTCTTTCCTGGAGAAAGGCTTTGTTCCTCTGTCGTGACTGTCTCATTCATTTTACAAGCTCTCCTGGAAAAGCTTTAATTCCCACTCTCCTTCGTGATTGTCTGTTCATTTTACATGCTCTTTCCTGGAGAAAACTGAATTCCTCTCCTTCAGGACTGTCTCATTCATTTTTCATGCTCTTTCTGGATAAAGGCTTTTAATTCCTCTCCTTCGTGACTGTCTCATTCATTTTACATGCTCTTTCCTGAGAAAGGCTTTAATTCCTCTCATATCGTGATTGTCTCATTCATTTTTACATGCTCTTTCCTGAGAAAAAGGCATTTTACATACTCTTTCCTTCTTCTTTCTTTGACTGTCTCATTCATTTTACATGCTCTTTCCTGAGAAAATGACCGTCTCATTCATTACATCTCTTTCCTGGATTTAATTCCTCTCATTGACCGTCTCATTGCTACTTTCCTGAGAAAAGGTCCTCTTTAATCTCCCATTCATTTCTCCCTTTCTGTGACTGTCTCATCTCCCCATTTTACATGCTCTTTCCTGGAGAAAGCTTTTAATTCCTCTCCTTCGTGATTGTCATTCATTCACCTTTCCTTTTAATTCTCTCCTTCATGTCTCATTCATTTTTACATTCTTGGAGAAAAGCTTTAATTCCTCTCTTTTAGTGACTGTCTCATTCATTTTACATGCTCTTTCCTGGAGAAGCACAATTCCCTCTCCTTCGTGACTGTCTCATTCATTTTACATGCTCTTTTCCTGGAAAGGCTTTAATTCCTCTCCTTCGTGACTGTCTCATTCATTTACATGCTCTTTCCTGAAAGGCTTTAATTCCTCTCCTTCATTGACTGTCTCATTCATTTTACATGCTCTTTCCTGGGAAAGGCTTTAATTCCTCCTCCTTCGTGACTGTCTCATTCATTTTACATGCTCTTTCCTGGAGAAAGGGGACTTTCATTCCATCTCCTTGGAAAGGCATTAATTCCTATCCTTCATGTGACTGTCTCATTCATTTTTACATGCTCTTTCCTGGAGAAAGGCTTTAATTCCTCTCCTTCGTGACTGTCTCATTCATTTTACATGCTCTTTCCTGGAGAAGGCATTGAATTCCCTATCCTTCATGACTGTCTCATTCATTTTACATGCTCTTTCCTGGAGAAGGCTAATTCCTCTCCTTCGTGACTGTCTCATTCATTTTACATGCTCTTTCCTGGAGAAAGGCTTTAATTCCCTCTCCTTCGTGACTGTCTCATTCATTTACATGCTCTTTCCTGGAGAAAACATTCCTCCTTCGTGACTGTCTCATTCATTTGGAAAACAAGCTCTTTCCTGGGCATTTTTCTTTAATTCCTTCCTGTCATTCTGCTCTTTTCGTAATTCCTTCTCATACATTTACATACTCTTTCCTGGAGAAAAAGCTTTTAATTCCTCTCCTTCGTGACTGTCTCATTCATTTTACATGCTCTATCCTGGAGAAATTTCTCTCCTTTAATTCATTCATTTTCCTTTCCTGGTGACATGACCGTCATTCATTCATTTTAGCTTTGTTCTTTCCTCCGTGACCGTCGCATTAATTTTACAAGCTCTTTCCTGGAGCTTTAATTCCAAACCTTCGTGACTTCTCAATTGGAGAAAAACATTCCTCTCCTTCGTGACTGTCTCATTCATTTTACACATACTCTTTCAGGAAAGCTTTAATTCCTCTTTTATCTCCTTACATTTTATGCTCTTTCCTGGAAAAGCTTTAATTCCCTCCTTCATGACTGTCTCATTCATTTTGTCTCTTTTCTGGAGAAAAGCTTTAATTCCTCCTTCGTGACCGTCTCATTCATTTTACATTACTCTTTCCTGGAGAAAGGCTTTAATTCCTCTCCTTCGTGACTGTCTCATTCATTTTACATGCTCTTTCCTGGAGAAAAAATTCCCTCTCCTTCGTGCTTTCATTCATTTCTTCTCCTTGTTGACTGTCTCATTCATTTTACATGCTCTTTCCTGAGAAAGCTTTGAATTTCTCTCCTTCGTGACTGTCTCATTCATTTCCCATGCTCTTTTCCTGGAGAAAAGCTTTAATTCCTTTCCTAGGTGACTGTCTCATTCATTTTACATGCTCTTTCCTGAGAAAAGCTTTAATTTCTTTCTTCATGTGACCTTTCGCTTTAATTCCTCATTTTATTCAAGCTCTTTCCTGGAGAAAAGCTTTAATTCCAAACCTTCGTGACTGTCTCATTCATTTTTACATGCTCTTTCTTGGAGAAAAGCTTTAATTCCTCTCCTTCGTGACTGTCTCATTCATTTTTACATGTTTCTTTCCTGGAGAAAGGCTTTAATTCCTCTCCTTCGTGACTGTCTCATTCATTTTACATACTCTTTCCTGGAAAAAGCTTTAATTCCTCTCCTTCATGACTGTCTCATTCATTTTTACATGCTCTTTCTTTGAAAAACTTTAATTCCTCCTTCATGACTGTCTCATTCATTTTACATGCTCTTTCTTGGAGAAAGGCTTTGAATTCCTCTCCTTCGTGACTGTCTCATTCATTTTACAAGCTCTTTCCTGGAAAAGCTTTAATTCCTCTCTTCGTGACTCTCATTCATTTTTACATGCTCTTTCCTGGAGAAAAGCTTTTGTTCCTCTCCTTCGAGACTGTCTCATTCATTTTACATGCTCTTTCCTGGAGAAAGGTTTTATTCCTCTCCTTCGTGACTGTCTCATTCATTTCATTTTGGAAAAAAGCATGCTCTTTCTGTCTCATTCATTTTACATGCTCTTTTTTCCTGGAGAAGGCTTTTAATTCCCCTCTCTTCGTGATTGTCTCATTCATTTTACATGCTCTTTCCTGGAGAAAGCTTTAATTCCTCTCCTTCGTGACTGTCTCATTCATTTTACATGCTCTTTCCTGGGAAAAGTCTCATTCATTTTTAATTCCTGTCCTCTACTTCGACTGTCTCATTCATTTTACATGCTCTTTCCTGGAAAAGCTTTAATCCCTCTCCTTCATGCTCTTTCCTTGCTTTAACCGTCTCATTCATTTTACATGCTCTTCTTGGAAAAAAATTTAATTCCTCTACTTCATGACGTGATTGTCTCATTCATTTGTACCTCTTTCCTGGAAAAAGCTTTAATTTCTCCTTCGTGACTTCTCTCATTCATTTGCTCTTTCCTGAAGAAGCTTTAATTCCTCTCCTTCGTGACTGTCTCATTCATTTTACATGCTCTTTCCTGGAAAGGCTTTAATTCCCTCTCCTTCGTGACTGTCTCATTCATTTTTACATGCTCTTTCCTGGAAAAGCTTTTAATTCCTCTCCTTCGTGACTGTCTCATTCATTTTACATGCTCTTTTTCCTGGAAAGGCTTTAATTCCTCTCCTTCGTTACTGTCTCATTCATTTTACATACTCTTTCCTGGAGACTGTCTCCCATTTAGTCCTCTCTTTCGTGACTGTCTATTTCATTTTACATACTTTAGTTCCTCTCTCCTGGACTCTTTCTTGAAAAGCTTTCTAATTCCTCTCCTTCGTGACTGTCTCATTCATTTTACATGTCTTTTTTTCTGGAAAGCTTTAATTCCTCTGTGTTTCTCATTCATTTTACCTCTTCCTTCGCTTTAACTGTCTCATTCATTTTTACATACTCTTTCCTGGAAAGGCTTTCCTCTCCTCTGTCCTTCATTTTACATGTGACTTTGTTCCTCATTCATCTTTCCTGGAGAAATTTTACATGCTCTTTCCTGGAGAAAAGCTTTAATTCCTCCTTCGTGACTGTCTCATTCATTTTACATGCTCTTTCCTGGAGAAAGGCTTTAATCTCCTCTCCTTCGTGACTGTCTCATTCATTTACATGCTCTTTCCTGGAAAGGCATTAATTCTCTCCTCGTGACTGTCTCATGACATGCTCTTTCATTCATTCCCTCTTTTACATTCTTCATTTTTCCTGGAAAAAGCTTTGGTCCCTCACCTTAATTCCTGTATCCTTCATGACTGTCTCATTCATTTTACATACTCTTTCCTGGAGAAAGGCTTTAATTCCTCTCCCGTGACTGTCATTCATTCATTTTACATGCCTTTCCTGGAGAAAGGTTTAATTCCTCTCCTTCAATGACTGTCTCATTCATTTTTACATGTTTCTTTCCTGGAGAAAGGCTTTGGTCCTCTCCTTCGTGACTGTCTCATTCATTTACAAGCTCTTTCCTGGAGAAAGGCATTAATTCCCTATCCTTCATGACTGTCTCATTCATTTTACATGCTCTTTCCTGGAAAAGGGTTTTAATTCCTCTCCTTCGTGACTGTCTCATTATTTTTACATGCTCTTTCCTGGAGAAAAGCTTTAGTACCTCTCCTTCGTGACTGTCTCATTCATTTTCATGCTCTTTCCTGGAGAAAGGCATTAATTCCTTTCCTTCGTGACTGTCTCATTCATTTTACATGCTCTTTCCTGGGAAAGGCTTTAATTTCCCCTCCTTCCTATTGATTGATTTGTGCTCTTTCACTTTCATTTTACATGCTCTTTCCTGGAAGCTCTCATTCTTTCTTCTCTTTTAATTCCATTCCCCTCCTTCGTGACCGTCTCATTCATTTTATGCTCTTTCTGGAGAAAGGCTTTTAATTCTTCTCCTTCGTGACTGTCTCATTCATTTTACATGCTCTTTCCTGGTGCTTTAATTCCCCTCTCCTTCGTAACTTCATTCATTTTCTCCTTTCTAGATAAAGCTTTAATTCCTCTCCTTCATTCATTTTACATGCACTTTCCTGGAGAAAATTCCTCTCCTTTAATTCATTTCTTTCCTCTCCTTCGTGACTGTCTCATTCATTTTTCATGCTCTTTTCCTGGAGAAATGTTCTCATTTTCATTTGCTCTTCTTTAATTCCTCCTTGTTCATGCTCTTTCCTGGAAAAGCTTTAATTCCCTCTAATTTTACAAGCTCTTTCCCTGGAGAAAAGCTTTAATTCCAAACCTTCATGACTGTCTCATTCATTTTACATACTCTTTGCTCATTTTCTTGGACTGTCTCATTCATTTACATGCTTTTAATTCTCTCTTCGTGACTGTCTCATTCATTTCTTACACTGTCTCATTCTTTTTTCAGGAAAAGCTTTAATTCCTCTCCTTCGTGACAGTCTCATTCATTTTACATGCTCTTTCCTGGAGAAAAGATTTGAATTCCTCTACTTGTGTGTCATTCATTTGCCTCTTTCCTGGAGAAAACTTTAATTCCCTCTCCTTCATGTTCTGTTCATTTTGCTCTCTGGAAAAGCTTTAACATTCCCTCTCCTTCATGCTTCTCTTCTTCATTTTACATCTTTCCTGATAAAAGCTTTGTTCTCTCCTTATTGACTTCTCTCATTGACTACTACTCTTTCTAGAAAACTTTAATTCCTCTCCTTCGTTACTGTCTACATGCATTTTTTGCATTACTCTCTGGCTTTAATTCCTCTCCTTTATTTTCTCTCATTAATTTACATATACTCCTGGAGAAAAGCTTTGTTCCCTATCCTTCATGACTGTCTCATTCATTTCTTTCCTTGGAAAAGCTTTAATTCCCTCTCCTTCGTGACTGTCTCATTCATTTTACATACTCTTTCCTGAAAATTTAATTCCTCCTCTTCGGCTGTCTTCATTTACATTGCTCTTTCCTGGAAAAGGCTTTAATTCCTCTCCTTCATTGTTTGTCTCATTCATTTTTGTACTCTTTCCTGGAGAAAGGCATTAATTCCTATCTCCTTCTTGACTGTCTCATTCATTTTGCTCTTTCTGGAGAAAACTAATTCCTCTCCTTCATTTCTCCATTCATTTTTTTACATGCTCTTTCCTGGAAAGAGGCACATTCCTCTCCTTCGTGACTGTCTCATTTCATTTACATACTCTTTCCTGGAGAAAGGCTTTAGTTCTCCTTTGTCTCATTCATTTTACATGCTCTTTCCTGGAGAAAAGCTTGAATTCCTCTCCTTCAGCAATCTGTTCATTTCCTGGAGAAAGGCTTTAATTCCTCTCCTTCGTTACTGTCTCATTCATTTTTTTACATGCTCTTTCCTTGGAAAAGCTTTAATTCCTCTCCTTCGTGACTGTCTCATTCATTTACATGCTCTTTCCTGGAGAAAGGCTTTAATTCCTCTCCTGTGTGACTGTCTCATTCATTTTACATGCTCTTTCCTGGAGAAAAGCTTTAATTCCTCTCCTTCATGACTGTCTCATTCATTTTACATACTCTTTCCTGGAGAAAAGCTTTAATTCCTCCTTCGTGACTGTCTCATTCATTTTACATGCTCTTTCCTGGGAAAGCTTTTAATTCCTCTCCTTCGTGACTGTCTCATTCATTTTTTACATGCTCTTTCCTGGAGAAAAGCTTTAATTCCTCTCCTTCGTGACTGTCTCATTCATTTACATGCTCTTTCCTGGAGAAAAGCTTTTTAATTCTCTCCTTCGTGACTGTCTCATTTCATTTTACATGCTCTTTTCCTGGGAGAAAGGCTTTGTTCCTCTCCTTCGTGGACTGTCTCATTCATTTTACATGCTCTTTCCTGGAGAAAAGGCTTTAATTCCTCTCCTTCGTGACTGTCTCATCTATTTTACATACTCTTTTTCCTGGAGAAAGGCTTTTAATTCCTCTCCTTCTGTGACTGTCTCATTCATTTTACAGGCTCTTTCCTGGAGAAAGGCTTTAATTCCTCTCCTTCGTGACTGTCTCATTCACTGTCTCATTCGTGACTGTCTCATTCATTTTACATGCTCTTTCCTGGAGAAAGGTTTGAATTCCTCCTTCGTATTGTCTCATTCATTTACATGCTCTTTCCTGAAGGCTAATTCCTTCGTGATGTCTCATTCATTTTACATGTTCTTTCCTGGAGCATTAATTCCTAATGACTGTCTCATTTTAATTCCTGTTTTAATTCCCTCCTTCGTAACTGTCTTATTCATTTTACATGCTCTTTCCTGGAGAAACTTTTAATTCCTCTCCTTCGTGTCTCATTCATTTTACATGTCTGCAGAAAGGCTATTCATTTTACATGCTCTTTCCTGGAGAAAAGCTTTTAATTCCTCTCCTTCATGATTTGTCTCATTCATTTTACATGTTTTTTCCTGGAAAAGCTTGAATTCCTCTCCTTCGTGACTGTCTCATTCATTTTACATGCTCTTTCTTGGAAAAGCTTTAATTCTCTCCTTCGTGACTGTCTCATTCATTTTACATGCTCTTTCTGGAGAAAAGCTTTTGTTCCTCTCCTTCGTGACTGTCTCATTCATTTTACATGCTCTTTCCTGGAGAAAGGCTTTAATTCTCTACTTGTGACCGTCTCATTCATTTTACATACTCTTTCCTGGAGAAAGGCTTTAATTCCCTCTCCTTCGTGACTGTCTCATTCATTTTACATGCTCTTTCCTGGAAGGCTTTAATTCCTCCTTCGTGACTGTCTCATTCATTTTCTCTGGAGAAAAGCTTTAATTCCCTCTCCTTCGTGACTGTCATTCATTTTACATGCTCTTTCCTGCTTTGAATTCCTCTCTTCGTGACTGTCTCATTTCATTTGTGCTCTTTCCTCTAATCCCTTCGTTACTGTCTCATTCATTTTACATACTCTTTCCTGGGAAAAGACTTTAATTCCTCTCCTTCGTTGACTGTCTCATTCATTTTTACATGCTCTTTCCTGGAGAAAGGCTTTAATTCCCTCTCCTTCGTGACTGTCTCATTCATTTTACATGCTCTTTCCTGGAGAAAGCTTTAATTCCCTCCTTCGTGACTGTCTCATTCATTTTACATGCTTTCCTTCCTCTCTTTAATTCCTCTCCTTCATTGACTGTCTCATTCATTTTACATGCTCTTTCCTGGAGAAAGGCTTTTAATTCCTCTCCTTCGTGACTGTCTATTTCATTTTGCAGCTTCAGCACTCTTTTTGTGCTCTTTCTGGAGAAAAGCTTTGGTGTTCCTTTCCTCAGCGTGACCGTCTCATTCATTTGTGGATGTCTTTTCTCCTGGAAAACTTTAATTCCCCCCTCCTTCGTATTGTCTCATTCATTTTGTTACTCTTTCCTGGAGAAAACTTCAATTCCTCTCTCTCTCTCTCTCCATTCAGAGACTGTCTCATTCATTTTATGCTCTTTCCTGGAAAACTGAATTTCCTCTCTCTCCTTCGTATTGTGTCTCATTCATTTCTTTCTTTCCTTGAAGGCTTTAATTCTCTCTCCTTGTGACTGTCTCATTCATTTACATGCTCTTTCCTGGAAAAGCTTGAATTCCTCTCCTTCATGACTGTCTCATTCATTTTGTGCTCTTTCTTGGAGAAAGCTTTAATTCCCTATCTTTAGTGACCATGTTCATTTATGCTCTTTCTGGAAAAGCTTCAATTCCTCTCCTTCGTGACCAATCTCATTCATTTTACATGCTCTTTCCTGGATATATATATATATTTATATATATATATCCTCATTCCTCTCCTTCATGTTATCATTCATTTATATATATAGGCTTATATATATATCCTTATATATACTGTCTCAGATAGACAGATACTCTTTCCAGAGTAAGCTTTAGATTCCTCTCTCGAATTTTGATTCTGGAGAAAACTTTAATCCAAATACAATCTCATTCAAAAAAGGCTGTTTCTCTCCTGGGCTTTAACATCTCCTTCGTGACTGTCAAAATTCGCATGATGCATGCTCTTAGCTAGAAAAGAAATTCCTCTCCTTCGTGAATACCATTTGTTAACAAGAGCTCTTTCCTGTAGAGCAAACTTTAGATTCTATAGGGTGACTGTCTCATTCATTTTATATACTCTTTCCTATATATATATTTAATTATTTTACACGTATATATATATTCATTTATAATATTCATTTCCTGGACATATATATATATATATCCTTCGTATATATATATATATATACATACTCATTTCCTGGAGAAAGCTTTAATATATCTCCTTCGTATATATCTATTCATTTTACAACATATTTCCTGGATGAAAGGCATTAATTGATATCCTTCATGACTGTCTCATTCATTTTGAAATAAAGATTTCCTGGAGAAAGCTTTAATTCCTCTCCTTCGACTGTTTCATTCATTTTACAAGACCTTTAAATGGAAAAAGGCTTTTAATTCCTGGTCTGTCTCATTCTTTAAATAAAGCAAAAGGGCTTTTAATCTTTAATGCTGGTGGTGTCTCGGCACTGGTGAGTAAGCTTTAGCGTTTCCTCTCTGAATCGTGAGTATCTCATTCATTTCGGTATAGCTCTTTCCTGATATAATATTTCTGTATGAAACAACTCTGTCCTCTTTGTTGTTCCTTTATTTTTCCGTACTAGCCAAATTCATTTAAAATGCTCTTTGATGTCACATTAAAAATTCACTTTCTATTCAAGAGACGATTACACAAATCTTTCCTGGTAAAATTTCCTCTCTGCACATTTACTGTCTCAAACAAATTGCTCTTAACTGGCAGAGCTTTGAGTGTCCTTACATTACCGTCTCTTTTCATTTTTGCTCTTAAATGGACAAAACTATATTCCTCTCTCCTTAAAATTCTCATTCATTTGTTCTTTCCTGGAAAAGCTTTAATTCTTCTCCTTCGTGACTGTCTCATTCATTTTATATTTTCCTGGTATTTTTTTCTCTCCTTAACAAAAAAACTTTCCTGGAAAAGCTTTATTCCTTTCCTCGTGACAAATCATTTATTTTTACATATGTTTAATAAAAAAATCAGTTCTTTCCACTGACCGTCGCATACCTGGCTCTTTCCTAGACTTTATTCAAACCTTCATGGCTATCCGATGCAAAGAGCTTTCTTAAAACTGTCTTTTGGTAATTCCCCGGGTCTTAGTCGATCGTCTTATTCATTTGATATCAGATGAAAATCTTTAATTCCTCTCCTTGATTGAAAGTCTCATACATTTTATACTCTTTATAGTATATATATATAATATATATATTCATGACTGTCTCATTCATTTTATTTTTTCTTTCTAGGGATTTTGTTTAACCCTCTCCTTCAGTAGTCTGTTCTCCATTCATTTTTCTTGCTCTTTCCTGCCAAACTTCTTTACATTTCATTCCTCTTTTATATCTATTTTGTCTCACAAATTTGAAGAATCTGATTCTGCAAAAGGCAAGATTAATTCCTCTAATGAAAATGTATGTGTGTATACAGAATTAGTATTTCTAGTTTATAAAACGTTAGAAATATTCTTATCCAAACTCCGTCTGTTTCTTGAAATTATTTCAATGCTGAATTGTCGAATGAAGCGGGGCAATCTTTTAAGTCTCATTCATTTTGCTCTGTCCTGGAGTGCTCTTTTGTTGTTCTTTTCCTCTCCTTCATGACTGTCTCATTCATTTTACATGCTCTTTCCTGGAAAAGCTTTAATTCCTCTCCTTCGTGACTGTCTCATTCATTTTACATGCTCTTTCCTGGAAAGGCTTTAATTCCTCTCCTTCGTGACTGTCTCATTCATTTTACATGCTTTTCCTGGATGTCAAATTCTCTCTTTCCTGGTCTCATTCATTTTACATACTCTTTCCTGGAAAGCTTTTAATTCCTCCTCCTTCGTGACTGTCTCTCATTCATTTACATGCTCTTTCCTGGAGAAAGGCTTTAATTCCTCTCTCCTTCGTGACTGTCTCATTCATTTTACATGCTCTTTCCTGGAAAAGCTTTAATTCTCTCCTTCATTGACTGTCTCATTCATTTTACATGCTCTTTCCTGGAGTGGCTTTAATTCCTCTCCTTCGTGACTGTCTCATTCATTTTACATGCTCTTTCCTGGAGAAGGCTTTAATTCCTCTCCTTCGTGACTGTCTCATTCATTTTACATGCTCTTTCTGGAGAAAAGCTTTAATTCCTTTCCTCCGTGACCGTCTCATTCATTTTCCATGCTCTTTCCTGGAGAAAGGCTTTAATTCCCTCTCCTTCGTGACTGTCTCATTTCATTTTACAGTCTTTCCTGGAGAAAGGCTTTAATTCCTCTCCTTCGTGATTGTCTCATTCATTTTACATGCTCTTTTCTTGGAAAAGCTTTAATTCCTCTCCTTCATGACTGTCTCATTCATTTTACATGCATGCTCTTTCCTGTGACCGTCTCATTCAAAAAGCTTTAATTCCCTCCTTCATGACAGTCTCATTCATTTTACATGCTCTTTCCTGGAAAAGCTTTAATTCTCTCCTTCGTGACCGTCTCATTCATTTTACATGCTCTTTTCCTGGAGAAAACTTCTTCCTTCATGAATTCCTCTCTCTTCGAAAAGCAATTGTCTCATTCATTTTTTTCTCTTTCTGGAGAAAGGGCTTTAATTCCTCTCCTTCGTGACTGTCTCATTCATTTGCATGCTCTTTCCTGGAGAAAAGTTTAATTCCTCTCCTTCGTGACCATCTCATTCATTTACATGCTCTTTCCTGGGAAAGGCTTTAATTCCTCTCATTGACTGTCTCATTCATTTTGTGCTCTTTCCTGGAAAACTTTAATTCCTTCCTTCGTGACTGTCTCATTCATTTACATGCTCTTTCTGGAAAATTCCTCTCCTTTAATTCCTCTCCTTCGTGACTGTCTCATTCATTTTACATGCTCTTTCCTGGAAAAGGCTTTAATTCCTCTCCTTCGTGTTCTGTCTCATTCATTTTTACATGCTCTTTCCTGGAGAAAGGCTTTAATTCCTCTCCTTCGTGACTGTCTCATTCATTTTACCTGCTCTTTCCTGGAGAAAGGCTTAATTCCTCTCCTTCGTGACTGTCTATTCATTTACATGCTCTTTCCTGGGAAAGGCTTTAATTCCTCTCCTTCGTGACTGTCTCTCTCATTCATTTTACATGCTCTTTCCTGGAGAAAAGCTTTAATTCCTCTCCTTCGTGACTGTCTCATTCATTTTACATGCTCTTTCCTGGAGAAAGGCTTTAATTCCTCTCCTTCGTGACTGTCTCATTTCATTTGTACTCTTTCCTGGAGAAAAGCTTTAATTCCTCTCCTTCGTGAGCTGTCTCATTCATTTGTGCTCTTTCCTGGAAAAAGCTTTACAATTCCTCTCCTTCGTGACAGTCTCATTCATTTTATGCTCTTTCCTGGAGAAAGCTTTTAATTCCTCTCCTTCATGTATCTCATTCATTTTACATGCTTTTTCCTGGAAAACTTTAATTCCTTTCCTCCGTGACTGTCTCATTCATTTTAAATGCTCTTTCCTGGAGAAAAGGATTTTTAATTCCTCTCCTTCGTGACTTATCTCATTCATTTTACATGCTCTTTCCTGGAGAAAGCTTTAATTCTCTCCTTCGTGACTGTCTTCATTTACATACTCTTTCCTGGAGAAAACTTTAATTCTCTCCTTCGTGACTGTCTCATTCATTTTACATGCTCTTTCCTGGAGAAAAGCTTTAATTCCTCCTCCTTCGTGACTGCTCTCATTCATTTTACATGCTCTTTCCTGGAGAAAAGCTTTAATTCCTCTCCTTCATTGACTGTCTCATTCATTTTTACATGCTCTTTCTTGGAAAAGCTTGAATTCCTGTCTCCTTCGTAATGTCTCATTCATTTTACATGCTCTTTCCTGGAAAAACTTTAATTCCTCTCCTTGTGACCGTCTCATTCATTTTTACATGCTCTTTCCTGGAAGAAAGGTGTCTCATTCCTCTTTCTTATTCCTCTCCTTCGTGACTGTCTCATTCATTTTTACATACTCTTTCCTGGAAGGCTTTAATTCCTCTCCTTCGTGACTGTCTCATTCATTTTTACATGTCTTTCCTGGAGAAAGGCTTTAATTCCTCTCCTTCGTGACTGTCTCATTCATTTTACATGCTCTTTCCTGGATAGCTTTTAATTCCTCTCCTTCATGTTGTCTCATTCATTTTACATGCCTTTCCTGGGAAAGGCTTTAATTCTCTCCTTCGTTACTGTCTCATTCATTTTACATGCTCTTTCCTGGAAAGGCTTTAATTCCTCTCCTTCGTGACTGTCTCATTCATTTTACCATCTCCTGGAAAGGTTTGTTCTCTTTCCTGCTCTTTCCTGGAAAGCTTTTAATTCCTCTCCTTCGTGACTGTCTCATTCATTTCCTCTTTCCTGGAAAGGCTTTAATTCCTCTCTTCATTCGTTGTCTCATTCATTTTACCTGCTCTTTTGGAGAAAGGCTTTAATTCCTCTCCTTCGTGACTGTCTCATTAATTTACATACTCTTTCCTGGAGAAAGGTTTAATTTCCCTCCTTCGTGAGCT